GGGGGTCAGGGGTCAGAGGGGGGATGGGGGAAACTCACTCACAGGGTTCATCCTGGGTCATGGCCAGGGAGGTCGGACCTGGGGGTTGGGGGTCGGGGGTCGTGCTGGGGGTTGGGGGTCGGGGGTCATGCTGGGGGTTGGGGGTCAGGGGTCAGAGGGGGGATGGGGGAAACTCACTGACAGGGTTCATCCTGGGTCATGGCCAGGGAGGTCAGGCCTGGGGGTCGGGGGTCGGGGGTCATGCTGGGGGCCGGGGGTCGGGGGTCAGGGGTCAGAGGGGGGGATGGGGACGGGTTCGACTCACCCAGAGGGTCCATGGTGGGTCATGGCCAGGGAGGTCAGACCTGGGGGTCAGGGGTCGGGGGTCATGCTGGGGGTCGGGGGTCAGGGGTCAGAGGGGGGATGGGGATGGGTTAGACTCACCCAGAGGGTCCATGGTGGGTCATGGCCAGGGAGGTCAGACCTGGGGGTTGGGGGTCGGGGGTCGTGCTGGGGGATGGGGGTCGGGGGTCATGCTGGGGGTCGGGGGTCGGGGGTCAGGGGTCAGAGGGGGGATGGGGACGGGTTCGACTCACCCAGAGGGTCCATGGTGGGTCATGGCCAGGGAGGTCAGACCTGGGGGTTGGGGGTCGGGGGTCATGCTGGGGGTTGGGGGTCAGGGGTCAGAGGGGGGATGGGGGAAACTCACTCACAGGGTTCATCCTGGGTCATGGCCAGGGAGGTCAGACCTGGGGGTCGGGGGTCAGGGGTCAGAGGGGGGGATGGGGATGGCTTAGACTCACCCAGAGGGTCCATGGTGGGTCATGGCCAGGGAGGTCAGACCTGGGGGTCGGGGGTCGGGGGTCGCGCTGGGGGTCAGGGGTCGGGGGTCAGAGGCCGTGGTCGCAGTCCACGTCGCGGCAGATGTACCAGAGGATGACGTAGAGAATGAGGAGGATGGCGAAGATGAAGAGCGCCACGAGCAGCGCCTTGCTGACGGGGGAGATGAGCGCCTGCATGTCCGTGCGTCCGCGCGTGTCCGTCTGTCCCGTCCCCGGGCCCCCCCTCCCCTCCCTCCCTGCAGCAGGAGGAGGAGGAGGAGGAGGAGGAAGGCCGCAGCAGCAGCAGCAGGACGCGCGCGCGCAGGGACGGACGGACGGACGGACAGGCCCAGGGGGGGGAGGGGAGGCCGCAGCTGCGCAGGCGCGGGAGGGCGGGAGCGGGGACGGAGGCCGGGAGGCGCCGGGGACGGGGCGCAGCGCGCGGGAATGGGGGTGCAACGCACGGGAATGTGGGGAGAACTTGGGGTGCAATGCACGGGAATGTGGGGTGCAATTGGGGTGCAATGCACGGGAATGTGGGGTGTAATTGGGGTGCAATGCACGGGAATGTGGGGTGGATTTGGGGTGCAATGCACGGGAATGTGGGGAGGATTTGGGGTGCAATGCATACAATTTTCGGGTGTAATAGGGGTGCAATGGACGGGAAATTGGGGTGCAATTGGGGTGCAATGCATGCAAATGTGGGGTCTATTTGGGGTGCAATGCATGGGAATTAGGGGTGCAATGCATACAATTTTGGGGTGCCATTGGCGTGCAATGCACGGGAATGTGGGTTGGATTTGGGGTGCAATGCATACAATTTTCGGGTGTAATAGGGGTGCAATGGATGGGAAATTGGGGTGCAATTGGGGTGCAATGCAGGGAATGTGGGGTGTAATAGGGGTGCAATGGATGGGAATTTGGGGTGCAATTGGGGTGCAATTGATGGGAATTTGGGGTGCAATTGTGGTGCAATGGATGGGAATTTGAGGTCGATTCGGGGTGCAATGCATACAATTTTGGGGTGCAATTGGCGTGCAATGCACGGGAATGTGTGGTGCAATTGGGGTGCAATGCATGCAAATGAGGGATGCAATGCATACAATTTTGGGGTGCAATTGGCGTGCAATGCACGGGAATGAGGGGTCTATTTGGGGTGCAAAGCACGGGAATGTGGGGTGGATTTGGGGTGCAATGCATGCAAATGAGGGGTCTATTTGGGGTGCAATGCATGGGAATGTGGGGTGCAATTGCGGTGCAATGCACGGGAATGTGGGGTGTAATTCGGGTGCAATGCACGGGAATGTGGGGTGGACTTGGGGTGCAATGCATGGAAGTGTGGGGTGGATTTGAGGTGCAATGCATGGGAATTTGGGGTGCAATTAGAGTGCCATGGATGAAAATGTAGGACGGATTTGGGGTGCAATGGATGGAAATTTGGGGTGCAATTGTCGTGCAATGGATGGGAATTTGGGGTGCAATTGGCGTGCAAAGCAGACAAATTGGAGATGTATTAGGGGTGCAATAGATATGAATTTGGGGTGCATTTGGGGTGCAATGCATGCAAATTTGGGGTGGATTTGGGGTGCAATGGATGGAAATTTGAAGGAAAATTGGGGTGCAATGCATGAGAATTAGGGGTGGATTTGGGGTGCAATGGATGGGAATTTGCGGTGAATTCGGAGTGCAATGCATGGGAATTTGGGGAGCATTGGGGGTACAGTGCACACAAATTGGAGATGTATTTGGAGTGCAACACATGGGAATGTCGGGTGAATTTGGAGTGCAATGTATAGAATTTTGAGGTGCATTTGGGGTGCAATGCATGAGAATTTAGGGTGCAATTGTGGTGCTATGTATGCAAATGTGGGGTTTATTTGGGGTGCAGTGGATGGGAATTTGGGGTGCTATTGGGGAGCAATGGATGGAAATGTAGGGTAGATTTGGGGTACAATGCATGCAAACTGGGGGTTCAATGCACACAATTTTGGGGTGTAATCGTGGTGCAATGGTTGGAAATTTGGGGTTTTATTGCGTTGCAATGCATGGGAGTTTGGGGTGTATTTGGGGTGCAATGCATGCAAATTAGGGGTGTATTTGGGGTGCAATGCATACAATTTTGAGGTGTATTTGGGGGTGCAATGCATGGGAATTTGGGGTGCAATTGGGGTTGCAATGGGAGTGCAACACATACAATTTTGGGGTGTATTAGGGGTGCAATGCATGGGAATTCGGGGTGCAATTGGGGTGCAATGCATGAAAATAGGGGTGCAATGCATACAGTTTTGGGGTGTATTTGGGGTGCAATGGATGGGAATTTGGGGTGCACTTGCGGTGCAATGCATGCAGATTTGGGGTGCAATGCGACACAGGTCTGGCGGGTGCGGGAGGCCCCATTGCGAGGCTCCCGGGACGGGCTTGGGGTGCAGGGAGCAGGATTTCCCGCGCAGCAGCTGACCCTGGGGGGAGGTCAGGGGGCGTGGCCTCCCCAGCCAGCACCGCCCAGCCCGGGGGGCGTGGCCTACGCTGGACAGGGGCGTGGCCTGGCGCTCGCTGGCGCGTGTGGGCGTGGCCTGGCGGGTGTGGGCGTGGCCTGGGCTCTCTCTGGCGGCCGTGGGCGTGGCCTGGCGCGCGCTGGCGGGTGTGGGCGTGGCCTGGGCGCTCCCTGGCGGGCGTGGGCGTGGCCTGGCGGGTGTGGGGGTGGCCTGGCGGCTGTGGGCGTGGCCTGGGGCTCCCTGGTGGGTGTGGGCGTGGCCTGGCGCGCGTGGGCGGGTATGGGCGTGGTCTGGCGGCTGTGGGCGTGGCCTGGGCTCTCGCTGGCGGGTGTGGGCGTGGCCTGGCGCGCGCTGGCGGGTGTGGGCGTGGCCTGGGCTCTCTCTGGCGGGTGTGGGCGTGGCCTGGGCTCTCTCTGGCGGGTGTGGGCGTGGCCTGGGCTCTCTCTGGCGGGTGTGGGCGTGGCCTGGGCTCTCTCTGGCGGCCGTGGGCGTGGCCTGGCGCGCGCTGGCGGGTGTGGGCGTGGCCTGGGCGCTCCCTGGCGGGCGTGGGCGTGGCCTGGCGGGTGTGGGGGTGGCCTGGCGGCTGTGGGCGTGGCCTGGGGCTCCCTGGTGGGTGTGGGCGTGGCCTGGCGCGCGTGGGCGGGTATGGGCGTGGTCTGGCGGCTGTGGGCGTGGCCTGGGCTCTCGCTGGCGGGTGTGGGCGTGGCCTGGCGCGCGCTGGCGGGTGTGGGCGTGGCCTGGGCTCTCTCTGGCGGGTGTGGGCGTGGCCTGGGCTCTCTCTGGCGGGTGTGGGCGTGGCCTGGGCTCTCTCTGGCGGGTGTGGGCGTGGCTTGGGCTCTCTGGCGGGGGTGGGCGTGGCCTGGCGGTTGTGGGCGTGGCCTGGCGTTCGCTGGCGGGTGTGGGCGTGGCCTGGGCGCTCCCTGGCGGGTGTGGGCGTGGCCTGGCGCGCGTGGGCGGCTGTGGGCGTGGCCTGGGCTCTCGCTGGCGGGTGTGGGCGTGGCCTGGGCGCTCGCTGGCGGGTGTGGGCGTGGCCTGGCGGGTGTGGGCGGCTGTGGGCGTGGCCTGGGCTCTCTCTGGCGGGTGTGGGCGTGGCCAGGCGCGCGTGGGCGGGTGTGGGCGTGGCCTGGGTTCTCTCTGGCGGGTGTGGGCGTGGCCTGGCGCTCGCTGGCGGGTGTGGGCGTGGCTTGGGCTCTCCCTGGCGGGTGTGGGCGTGGCCTGGCGGGTGTGGGCGTGGCCTGGGCTCTCGCTGGCGGCTGTGGGCGTGGCTTGGGCTCTCCCTGGCGGCTGTGGGCGTGGCTTGGGCTCTCCGTGGCGGGTGTGGGCGTGGCCTGGCGCGCGTGGGCGGGCGTGGGCGTGGCCTGGGCGCTCCCTGGCGGCCGTGGGCGTGGCCTGGCGGCCGTGGGCGTGCCCTGGGCTCTCCCTGGCGGCTGTGGGCGTGGCTTGGGCTCTCCCTGGCGGCTGTGGGCGTGGCCTGGCGCTCGCTGGCGGGTGTGGGCGTGGCCTGGCGCTCCATGGCGGGTGTGGGCGTGGTCTGGCGGGTGTGGGCGTGGCCTGGGCTCTCGCTGGCGGGTGTGGGCGTGGCCTGGGCTCTCGCTGGCGGGTGTGGGCGTGGCCTGGCGCTCGCTGGCGGGTGTGGGCGTGGCCTGGGCGCTCGCTGGCGGCCGTGGGCGTGGCCTGGCGGCCGTGGGCGTGGCCGGGGGCGTGGCCCGCGGCGGAAGCGGCCTGGGCCGGGCGGGAGGATGCGCGCGCCGCCGCCGCTCGCGCTGTCGCTGCTGCTGCTGCTGCTGCTGCCGGGTGAGCGCGGGGTCGCGCCGGGGTCGCGCCGGGGTCGCGCCGGGGTCGCGGGCGTCGCGGGGGTCGCGCCGGGGTCGCGGGGGTCGCGCGCGCGGGGGTTTTCGGGGGGAATCGGCGCGCGGGGGAGGGGCGAGGCGCGCAGTGCGCAGGCGCGGGCGCCGCCCGGGCGCGGCCGCGCGTCACGCGCCGGAAGGGGCGGGGCGAAGGCCTCTGATGGGCGTTTGACACCGGAAGGGGCGGGATGAAGGCTGTTGATGGGCGTTTGACACCGGAAGGGGCGGGACGAAGGCGCCAAAAGCGTCTCAGAGACCGGAAGGGGCGGGACGAAGGCTGTTGACGGCTCTGTGACACCGGAAGGGGCGGGACGAAGGCGTCTGATGGATCTCAGACGCCGGAAGGGGCGGGACGAAGGCGCTGGAGACGTGTCTGGCGCCGGAAGGGGCGGGATTACAGCCCCGGGGGCTTCTTCCGGGTCCCCAGCCTCGCCATCCCATAATAACACTCCATAGACGCCCCATCCGGGTCCCTAGCAACGGCATCCCATAATAACAGTCCCTGGACACTCAGGCCCGTCCTCATCCGGGTCCCTAGCAACGGCATCCCATAATACCAGGCTCTAGACACTCAGGCCCGTCCTCATCCGGGTCCCTAGCAACGCCATCCCATAATACTAGTCCTGAGACTCTCAGGCCCGTCCTCATCCGGGTCCCTACCCACGGCATCCCATAATAACAGTCCCTGGACACTGAGGCCCGTCCTCATCCGGGTCCCTAGCAACGCCATCCCATAATAACAGTCCCTGGCCGTCCTCATCCGGGTCCCTAGCAACGGCATCCCATAATAACACTCCATAGACGCCCCATCTGGGTCCCTACCAACGGCATCCCATAATAACAGTCCCTGGACGCCCAGGCCCGTCCTCATCCGGGTCCCTAGCAACGCCATCCCATAATACTAGTCCCATAATACTAGTCCTCAGACACTAGGGCCCGTCCTCATCCGGGTCCCTGGACGCCCCATCTGGGTCCCTAGCAACTGCATCCCATAATACCAGTCTCTAGAAACCCAGGCCCGTCCTCATCCGGGTCCCTGGACACTGAGGCCCGTCCTCATCCGGGTCCCTGGACACTGAGGCCCGTCCTCATCCGGGTCCCTAGCATCGCCATCCCATAATACTAGTCTCTAGACACCCAGGCCGGTCCTCATCTGGGTCCCTGCACGCCCCATCTGGGTCCCTAGCAACGGCATCCCATAATAACACTCCATAGACGCCCCATCTGGGTTCCTAGCAACGCCATCCCATAATAACAGTCCCTGGACACCCAGGCCCGTCCTCATCCAGGTCCCTAGCAACGGCATCCCATAATACTAGTCCTGAGACACTGAGGCCTGTCCTCATCCGGGTCCCTGGACGCCCCATCTGGGTCCTTAGTAACGGCATCCCATAATACTACTCTCTAGACACCCAGGCCCGTCCTCATCCGGGTCCCTAGCAACGGCATCCCATAATAATAGCCCCTGGACACTCAGGCCCGTCCTCATCCGGGTCCCTAGCAACGGCATCCCATAATAATAGCCCCTGGACACTCAGGCCCGTCCTCATCCGGGTCCCTGGACACGGAGGCCCGTCCTCATCCTGGTCGCCTAGCAACCGGGTACCTGGGGGGGTCTGCGGCCTCCTGGTCGCCTAGCAACCATGCACCGGGGCATTTCCAGCATCCTGGTCGCCTAGCAACAAGGTTCCTTAGCAACCATGCATGGGGGGGGGGGATTTCCAGCATCCTGGTTGCCTAGCAACCGGGTACCTGGGGGGTCTGCGGCCTCCTGGTCGCCTAGCAACCATGCACCGGGGCATTTCCAGCATCCTGGTCGCCTAGCAACAAGGTTCCTTAGCAACCATGCATGGGGGGATTTCCAGCATCCTGGTTGCCTAGCAACCGGGTACCTGGGGGAGTCTGCGGCCTCCTGGTCGCCTAGCAACCATGCATCGGGGGATTTCCAGCATCCTGGTCGCCTAGCAACAAGGTTCCTTAGCAACCAGGCCTCTGGGGGGGGGTCCTGAGCATCCTGGTTGCCTAGCAACCGGGCTCCCCAGCACCTGAGGCCTCTCTGCACGTTGTGACGGCGATGGTGGATCGTGATCGACTGTTTGTCTCTTTCTCTCTCTCTCTGTGTCTTTTCCCCCAGAGGGAAGGTTCCAGAAACCCACGGCCGCCCCCAAGAAGCCAGGGGATGATTTCGACCTGAGCGACGCCCTGGACGGAGGAGATGAAGGCCGGGGAGGAGGAGGAGGAGGAGGAGGAGGAGGAGGTGAGGATGGACTGAGCTCCCCAGCACCCTGGGATGGACTGAGCTCCCCAGCACCCAGAGAAGGACTGAGCTCCCCAGCACCCTGGGATGGATTGAGCTCCCCACTACTCTTGGAGGACTGAGCTCCCCAGCACCCTGGGATGGACTGAGCTCCCCAGCACCCAGGGATGGACTGAGCTCCCCAGCACCCAGGGAAGGACTGAGCTCCCCAGCACCCAGGGTGCTCAGCCTGGATACTCTGACAGCCTCTCTGTGTTTCTCTTGCAGGGGATGACTTCGATCTCCAGGACGCCCTGGGCGGCGGTGAGTCCGTCCGTCTGTCCGTCTGTTCCTCGCTGGGGCGGGCGCTGGGGCGCTCAGTCCTCCCCCTGAGGGAGGACTCCTTCCCCAGGTGCTGAGATCTCGGTCCCAGTCCCCTGGGTGGTGCTGAGTGTTAAGTACTCCCACCAGCACCCCGAGCCAAGGTGCTGGGATCGAAGTCCTCCTCGGACCGACCCCACGGGGGTGGGTACTGGGAACACAGTAGTCCCATCATGAGCACCTCAAGCATAAGCCCTGGGGCCCCAAATCCTCAACTGGGTGCTGGGCGTTAAGTACTCCCGGCGCCAAGTATATCTGTGAGCTTTGGGGTGCTGGGAACCGAGTCATCAGGGGGAGTGCGAGCACAGCAGTGTTCTATCAGGCAGTTGGGTGGGTGGGTGCTGGGTGCTAAGTTCTCCTTGTTGCTGGGCATTAAGTATTCTTGGGTAGTGGGTGCTTGGTAAGTATTCACGGGTGCTGGGTGCTCAGTACACCTTGTTGGTGGGTATTAAGTATTCTTGGGTGCTCAGTACTTTCTAGGGTTGTATTTAGTCTTTTTGGGTGCTGGGTGTTAAGAACTCCCGGATGCTGGGTGTTAAGTACTCCCCGTCGGTGGGTATTGCATTCTTGGGTGCTGGGTGTTAAGTACTCCCTGGGGCTGTATTTAGTATTTTTGGGTACTGGGTGCTAAGTCCTCTTTTGGGTGCTGGGTGCTCAGTACTCCCGATTGGTGGGTATTTAGCACTTTGGGTGCTGGGTGTTAAGTACCCTCGTTGGTTGGTATTGTATTCTTGGGTGCTGGGTGCTCAGTACTCTTTTTGGGGTGCTGGGTGCTCAGTACTTCCTGTCGGGGTGCTGGGTGCTCAGTACTCCTTGTCGGTGGGTATTAAGTATTCTTGGGTGCTGGGTGTTAAGTACTCCTTGCTCGTGGGTAAGTATTCTTCGGGTGCTGGGGGCTCAGTACTCCTTAGGGGTGCTGGGTGTTAAGTACTCCATGCGGGCTGTATTTTTGAGTACTTGGGTGCTGGGTGTTAAGTACTCCCGGGTGCTGCGCACTCAGTACTCCCTGGGGCTGTATTTAGCATTGTTGGGTGCTGGGTGTTAAGTACTCCCGGGTGCTGGGTGTTTAGTACTCCCTGGGCTGTATTTAGTATTTTGGGTGCTGGGTGTTAAGTACTCCCGGGTGCTGCGCGCTCAGTCCCCCGTGTCCCCCCAGGCGACCCCGCCCCGCCGCCCGCCCCGCCGCGGCCCGCCCCGCAGCCCGGAAGTTCCGGTGAGTGGAGGCCCCGCCCCCGCCCCTGGCCCCGCCGCGCTCCCGGCGTGCCTCGCGGCCGCGCTCACCCCCCCCCCCCCCCCCCCCCCGCAGGCGGATTCTCCGACCGGGACCTGACGGACGGCGCGGGCGGCGCGCAGGAGGAAGGTGCGCCACTGCGCATGCGCGAAAATCCCCATAGAGCAACTGCGCATGCGCGAAAATCCCATAGTGCAAGTGCGCATGCGCGGAAAATCCCCATAGAGCAACTGCGCATGCGCGGAAAATCCCCTAGTGCAACTGCGCATGCGCGAAAATCCCCATAGAGCAACTGCGCATGCGCGGAAAATCCCCATAGATTAACTGCGCATGCGCGAAAATCCCCATAGATTAACTGCGCATGCGCGAAAATCCCCATAGATTAACTGCGCATGCGCGAAAATCCCCATAGAGCAACTGCGCATGCGCGAAAAATCCCATAGAGCAACTGCGCATGCGCGAAAAATCCCATAGTGCAAGTGCGCATGCGCGGAAAATCCCCCTCCCCCCCATAGAGACTGCGCATGCGCGGAAAATCCCATAGAGACAGTGCGCATGCGCGGAAAATCCCATAGTGCAACTGCGCATGCGCGGAAAATCCCATAGTGCTACTGCGCATGCGCGGAAAATCCCCATAGAGCAACTGCGCATGGGCGGAAAGTCCCGTAGTGCAAGTGCGCATGCGCGGAAAATCCCCCTCCCCCCCCCCCCATAGAGACTGCGCATGCGCGGAAAACCTCCTAGAGCAAGTGCGCATGCGCGGAAAACTCCCATAGAGACAGCGCGCGAGTGTCAGACTGAGTAGAGTGCCCTGCGCATGCGTGAGACGGAGTCAAAAAACACGGCGTAGAAGGAGCTGCGCATGCGTGGGAGCGAGGAGCAAGTACCGCGCATGCGTCAGCTCGAGTAACCCTGAGCGCAGTGCCCTGCGCATGCGTCAGACTGCGTAGAACGCGCTGCGCATGCGCGGGGCGGAGGGTCACGAAGTGCGCAGGCGCGGATCTGAGGGCCGGCCTGCGCGCTGCGCATGCGCGGGGTGGGGAGGGGGGGGGGTGTGTGTGGGGACTGAGTGCGCGCATGCGCGGTGCGGGGTCTGGGTCTGTCTCTGCGCTGCGCGCATGCGCGGTGGGGGGTGTGTGTCTGGGTCTGGGCTGCGCGCATGCGCGGTGGGGGGGCCTGTCTCTGTGTCTGGGCTGCGCGCATGCGCACCTGCGCGCTGCGCCCTGGCGCTGACCCCTGACCCCCCCCCGACCCCTGACCCCCGCAGGGCCCGCGCAGGGCGTGGTGCCCGGGGTGGTGGGCGCCGTGCTGGTGGCCGTGGCCGGCGCCGTCTCCAGCTTCGTCGCCTTCCAGAAGAAGAAGCTGTGCTTCCAGCAGCGCGGTGAGCGGGGGGCCTGGAAACGGTCGTTGGTGGGGTTGGGGGGCCTGGAAACTCTCATGAAGGGCTCTGGGGGGCCTGGAAACTCTCATTTGGGATAGAAGGGGGCCTGGAAACTCTCATGGGGTGGGTGGGGGCCTTGAAACTGTCATCTGGGGTGGGTGGGGGGCCTGGAAACCCTCAATGGGAGGGGTTGGGGGGCCTGGAAACGGTCATTAGAGAAGGTTGGGGGGCCTTGAAACTCTCATTAGGGGGCTCTGGGGGGCCTTGAAACGGTCATCTGGGGATGGAGGGGGGCCTGGAAACTCTCATGAAGGGCTCTGGGGGGCCTGGAAACTCTCATTTGGGATGAAAGGGGAGCCTGGAAAGTCTCATTGGAGGGCTTGGGGGACCGGGAAACCCTCAATGGGAGGGTTGGGGGGCCTGGAAACGGTCATTAGAGAAGATTCGAGGGGCCTGGAAACTCTCATTACTGGCTCTGGGGAGCCTTGAAACCCTCATTAGGGGCTCAGGGGGGCCTTCAAACTCTCATTTGGGATGAAAGGGGAGCCTGGAAACTCTCATTGGTGGGGTTGGGGGGCCTTGAAACTCTCATTAGGGGCTCTGGGGGGCCTTGAAACGGTCATCTGGGGATGAAGGGGGGGCCTTGAAACTCTCATTAGGGGCTTTGGGGGGCCTTGAAACGGTCATCTGGGGGATGAAGGGGGGCCTGGAAACTCCCATTGGAGGGCTTGGGGGGCCTGGAAACTCTCATGAAGGGTTCTGGGGTGCCTTCAAACTCTCATTTGGGATGAAAGGGGAGCCTGGAAAGTCTCATTGGAGGGCTTGGGGGGCCTGGAAACCCTCAATGGGAGGGGTTGGGGGGCCTGGAAACGGTCATTAGAGAAGATTCGAGGGGCCTGGAAACTCTCATTACTGGCTCTGGGGAGCCTTGAAACCCTCATTAGGGGCTCAGGGGGGCCTTCAAACTCTCATTTGGGATGAAAGGGGAGCCTGGAAACTCTCATTGGTGGGGTTGGGGGGCCTTGAAACTCTCATTAGGGGCTCTGGGGGGCCTTGAAACGGTCATCTGGGGATGAAGGGGGGGCCTTGAAACTCTCATTAGGGGCTTTGGGGGGCCTTGAAACGGTCATCTGGGGATGAAGGGGGGCCTGGAAACTCCCATTGGAGGGCTTGGGGGGCCTGGAAACTCTCATGAAGGGTTCTGGGGTGCCTTCAAACTCTCATTTGGGATGAAAGGGGAGCCTGGAAAGTCTCATTGGAGGGCTTGGGGGGCCTGGAAACCCTCAATGGGAGGGGTTGGGGGGCCTGGAAACGGTCATTAGAGAAGGTTGGGGGGCCTGGAAACTCTCATTACTGGCTCTGGGGAGCCTTGAAACTCTCATTAGGGGCTCAGGGGGGCCTTCAAACTCTCACTTGGGATGAAAGGGGAGCCTGGAAACTCTCATTGGGGATAGAAGGGGGCCTGGAAACTCTCATTGGTGGGTTTGGGGGGGGCTTGAAACTCTCATTAGGGGCTTTGGGGGGCCTGGAAACGGTCATTAGAGAAGGTTGGGGGGCCTGGAAACTCTCATTACTGGCTCTGGGGAGCCTTGAAACTCTCATTAGGGGCTCAGGGGGGCCTTCAAACTCTCACTTGGGATGAAAGGGGAGCCTGGAAACTCTCATTGGGGATAGAAGGGGGCCTGGAAACTCTCATTGGTGGGTTTGGGGGGGGCTTGAAACTCTCATTAGGGGCTTTGGGGGGCCTGGAAACGGTCGTTGGAAGGGTTGGGGGGCCTGGAAATTCTCATTACGGATAAAAGGGGGCCTGGGAACTCCCATTGGCGGGGTTGGGGGGCCTGGAAACCCTCATGAAGGGCTCTGGGGGGCCTGGAAACTCTCATTTGGGATAGAAGGGGGCCTGGAAACTCTCATTGGAGGGTTTGGGGCGCCTGGAAACCCTCATGAAGGGCTCTGGGGGGCCTGGAAACTCTCATTTGGGATGGGAGACGGCCTTGAAAGTCTCACTTGGGAGTTGGGGAGCCTTGAAACTCATTCCTGGGGCTGCATAGGGGGAGCCTGGAAACCCTCACCTGCGGGTTGGGGCGCCTTGCAACTCTCATTGGGAGCTCTGGGGGGGACTGGAAACTCTCATTTGGGATACAAGGGGGGCCTTGAAACTCATTGTGGGGGGGGTTAGGGGGCCTGGAAACTCATTACAGGCTCTGGGGGGACTTCAAACTCTCATGAGGGGGCTCTAGGGGGGGGCCTGGAAACTCTCATGGGGTGGGTGGGGGGCCTAGAAACCCTCATTTGGGATGGGAGAGGGCCTTGAAAGTCTCACCTGGGGGTTGGGGCGCCTTGAAACTCATTCCTGGGGTTGCATGGGGAGCCTAGAAACTCTCACCTCCAGTGGGGGAGCCTTGAAACTGTCACCTGGGGTTTGGGGCGCCTTGAAACTGCCGTGTCTGCGCCTCACCCGCCCGGCCTCCCCCCCCAGGCCTCCGCGCCCCGGCCTCCTCCTGCTCCCGCCAGCGCCTGCGGCCGCTCCCATGATGCCCCGCGCCCGCACTAACGCGCCTCGGCCTCCGCTAACGCCCGCTTGGCTCCAGGTCTGTCCGTCCGTCCGTCCTGACCTCCCTCCTCCTCCTCCCCCCCCCCTTCCTTCCCCCCCTTTTTCCAGATGCGTCGGCCCAGGTCTGAGGGTCACGGCCTCCGCCTGTGACCTCTGACCCCTCCTGACCTGCGACCCCCGACCTGACCCCCTCCACCCACCACCTGGCTTTGGTTTCATCCCAACAACTGGGCCTCGAATCCTGGGCCTCCAACGTGTCGGCCTCCACCGGGGCCTCGGCCTCCAATCCCAGGCCTCAGGCTTCAGCCTCCACCCTAGGCCTCAGGCCTCAGCCTCCACATTAGGCCTCGGCCTTCAGTCCCAGGCCTCAGCCTCCATTCTAGGCCTCAAGCCTCGGCCTCCAATCACAGGCCTCAGGCTTCAGCCTCCAATACCAGGCCTCAGGCTTCGGCCTCCAACCTAGGCCTGGGCCTCCAATACCAGGCCTCAGGCTTCAGCCTCCACTCTAGGCCTCAGGCTTCGGCCTCCACCCTAGGCCTGGGCCTCCAATCACAGGCCTCAGGCTTCAGCCTCTACACCAGGCCTCAGGCTTCAGCCTCCAATCCTAGGCCTCAGGCCTCAGCCTCCACCCTAGGCCTCAGCCTCCATTTTAGGCCTCAGCCTCCAATCCCAGGCCTCAGGCTTCGGCCTCCAATCCCAGGCCTCAGGCTTCAGCCTCCACTCTAGGCCTCAGGCTTCAGCCTCCAATCCCAGGCCTCAGGCTTCGGCCTCCACCCTAGGCCTCAGGCTTCAGCCTCCAATCCCAGGCCTCAGGCTTCGGCCTCCACCCTAGGCCTCAGGCTTCAGCCTCCACCCTAGGCCTCAGGCTTCAGCCTCCACACCAGGCCTCAGGCTTCGGCCTCCACTTTAGGCCTCAGGCTTCAGCCTCCAATCCCAGGCCTCAGGCTTCGGCCTCCACCCTAGGCCTGGGCCTCCGCTCCCAGGCCTCCCCCCTCGGCCTCCAGCTCTCGCCTTTTGGTATAACCATAAAAGTGGCTTGACCTCTGACCTCCGCCTCGGCTCCTTTGTTCACTGTGGGGAGGGGCGGGGCGGGGGGGGTCAGGGGTCAAGCTCTGGCGGGGGGTCACGGGGTGGTGGAGTTTCTAGAACGTTCTCTCTGCCCATCCGTCCCACCCCCCCATCTGTCCGTCTGTCCAGGGAGGTCAGGGGTCGCAGGGACAGGTTGGGGAAACTGAGGCACAGGTCCACATCCGGGCCTCCACACCCTGGCCTCCACTTCCTGGCCTCCACATCCTGGCCTCCACATCCTGGCCTCCACTTCCTGGCCTCCACTTCCTGGCCTCCACATCTGGGCCTCCCCATCCTGGCCTCCCCATCCTGGCCTCCCCATCCTGGCCTCCACATCCTGGCCTCCCCATCTGGGCCTCCACTTCCTGGCCTCCACATCCGGGCCTCCCCATCCTGGCCTCCACATCCGGGCCTCCACATCCTGGCCTCCACTTCCTGGCCTCCACATCCGGGCCTCCCCATCCGGGCCTCCACATCCTGGCCTCCACTTCCTGGCCTCCACATCCGGGCCTCCCCTTCCTGGCCTCCACATCCGGGCCTCCACTTCCTGGCCTCCCCATCCGGGCCTCCACATCCTGGCCTCCACATCCGGGCCTCTGCACCCCCCCACCCCCAGCAACCTCGTACATCCGGGGCTTTCGTCTCCCAAGCCTGGGTGTGGCTGCGTCTGGGGGCACAGGCCCGGGCCTGCGCGCGGGGAAGAAGCCACAGGCCCGGGCCTGAGCGCGGGGTGCGTCCCACACGGCCTACGCGCAGGATAGAAGCCACAAGCCCGCACCCAAGCGCGGGGTGCGTCCCACACGGCCTATGCGCAGGATAGAAGCCACAGGGCTGGGCCTGCGCGCAGCATAGAAGCCACAAGCCCGGACCTGAGCGCGGGGTGCGTCCCACAGGGCCTACGCGCAGGATAGAAGCCACAGGGCGGGGCCTGCGCGCGGGGTGCGTCCCACACGGCCTACGCGCAGGATAGAAGCCACAGGGCGGGGCCTGCGCGCGGGGTGCGTCCCACACGGCCTACGCGCAGGGGCGAAGCCACAGAGCTGGGCCTATGCGCAGGATAGAAGCCACAAGCCCGGGCCTGAGCGCGGGGTGCGTCCCACACGGCCTACGCGCAGGATAGAAGCCACAGGGCGGGGCCTGCGCGCAGGATAGAAGCCACAGAGCTGGGCCTATGTGCAGCATAGAAGCCATGGAACTGGGCCTGCGCGCAGGGACGAAGCCACAGAGCTGGGCCTATGCGCTGGATAGAAGCCATGGGGCTGGGGCCTGTGCGCAGGGACGAAGCCACAAGCCCGGACCTGCGCGTGGGGTGCGTCCCACACGGCCTACGTCCAGGGGCGAAGCCACAGAGCTGGGCCTGCGCGCAGCATAGAAGCCACAGAGCTGGGCCTGCGCGCAGGGACGAAGCCACAAGCCCGGACCTGCGCGCGGGGTGCGTCCCGCAGGGCCTACGCGCAGAGGCGAAGCCACAGGCCCGCACCCGAGCGCGGGGTGCGTCCCCCAGGGCGGGGCCTGCGCGCAGGGGCGAAGCCACGGGCCTTCCTCCTCCTCCTCCTCCTCCTCCTGCTGCAGGTCAGCGCGAGGAAGAGGAGGAGGAGGAAGATGCTGCTGCTGCTGCTGCTGCTCTGCGGCCCAGGGGCGCGGGGTGAGGCCGGGGGCCGGGCCCCCACTTGGGGGTTTCTAGTCCCCCCATCCTCTTTGGTGGTTTCTAGTTCCCCCATCTTGGTGGTTTCTAGTTTCCCCCAGTTAGATTGGTGGTTTCTAGTCCCCCCATCCTCTTTGGTGGTGTCTAGTTCCCCCTTGTTGGTAGTTTCTAGTTCCTCCCACTTAGATTGGTGGTTTCTAGTTCCCCCCAGTTAGATTGGTGGTTTCTAGTCCCCCCAGTTTGGTTGGTAGTTTCTAGTTCCCCCAATCTTTGGTGGTTTCTAGTTCCCCCACTTAGATTGGTGGTTTCTAGTCCCCCCCATCTTGGTGGTTTCTAGTCCCCCCAGTTTGGTTGGTGGTTTCTAGTCCCCCCTTTTCCCCATCTTGGTGGTTTCTAGTTCCCCCCACTTAGATTGGTGGTTTCTAGTTCCCCCACTTTGGCAGTTTCTATTCCCCCCCAGTGTTTGGTGGTTTCTAGTTCCCCCTTTTCCCCATCTTGGTGGTTTCTAGTTCCCCCATGTTGGTGGTTTCTATTCCCCCCAGTGTTTGGTGGTTTCTAGTTCCCCCATCTTTGGTTGGTGGTTTCTAGTTCCCCCCTTAGTTTGGTGGTTTCTACTTCTTTCCCCAAGGTTGGTGGGTGGTTTCTAGTTCCCCCATCCTGGTGGTTTCTAGTTCCCCCAGTTTGGTTGGTGGTTTCTAGTTCCCCCAATCTTTGGTGGTTTCTAGTTCCCCCAACTTAGATTGGTGGTTTCTAGTCCCCCCATCTTGGTGGTTTCTAGTTCCCCCAACTTAGATTGGTGGTTTCTAGTCCCCCCAGTTTGGTTGGTAGTTTCTAGTTCCCCCAATCTTTGGTGGTTTCTAGTTCCCCCACTTAGATTGGTGGTTTCTAGTCCCCTCATCTTGGTGGTTTCTAGTTCCCCCCAGTTAGATTGGTGGTTTCTAGTTCCCCCACTTAGATTGGTGGTTTCTAGTTCCCCCTTGTTGGTGATTTCTAGTTCCCCCAGTTTGGTTGGTGGTTTCTAGTCCCCCCTTTTCCCTATCTTGGTGGTTTCTAGTTCCCCCCCTTAGATTGGTGGTTGCTAGTTCCCCCTTGTTGGTGGTTTCTAGTTCCCCCACTTTGGCAGTTTCTATTCCCCCCAGTGTTTGGTGGTTTCTAGTTCCCCCATCTTGGTGGTTTCTAGTTCCCCCATCTTGGTGGTTTCTAGTTCCCCCCTTAGTTTGGTGGTTTCTAGTTCCCCTCCTTGTTGGTGGTTTCTAGTTCCCCCCATCTTGGTGGTTTCTAGTTCCCCCAGTTTGTTGGTTTCTACTTCTTTTCCCCATGTTGGTGGTTTCTAGTTCCCCCCCTTTTTGGTGGTTTCTAGTTCCCCCACTTTGGCAGTTTCTATTCCCCCCAGTGTTTGGTGGTTTCTAGTTCCCCCATCATCTTTGGTTGGTGGTTTCTAGTCCCCCCATCCTCTTTGGTGGTTTCTAGTTCCCCCAGTTTGGTGGTTTCTAGTTCCCCCAGTTTGGTGGTTTCTAGTTCCCCCCAGTTTGGTTGGTGGTTTCTAGTTCCCCCAATCTTTGGTGGTTTCTAGTTCCCCCCAGTTAGATTGGTGGTTTCTAGTTTCCCCCAGTGTTTGGTGGTTTCTAGTTCCCCCATCCTCTTTGGTGGTTTCGAGTCCCCCCTCGTCTCCTGGTGGTTTCTGCGCCCGGGGCTGGGGTTGTGGCGCTGGATTTTCAGGTTGGGCCGGGTGGGTGGAGGCCGGGGCCGGGCCCTGTCTGTGTGTCTGTCTGTCGGTCTGTCTGTGTCTGTCTGTCTGTCTGTCCGTGTGTCCATCCGTCAGTCTGTCTATGTGTCTGTGTCTGTCTGTGTCTGTCTGTCCGTCAGTCCGTCCGTCCATCCGTCTGTCTGTGTGTCTGTGTGTATGTCTGTCTGTCTGTCTGTGTCCGTCTGTCCGTCCGTCCGTCTCTGTGTCTGTCTGTCTGTGTCTGTCCGTCTCTCCGTCTCCTCTCTGTCCATCTGTCTTCCTCTCTGCCTGTCTGTCCATCTGCATCTCAGTCTCTCTGTCTGTCTGTCTGTCTGTCTGTCTGTCCATCTGTCAGACAGTCAGTCAGTCGGTCGGTCTATGTCTGTCTGTCTGTCTATCGCTCGTCTGTCTGTCTGACTCTGTGTCCGTCCGTCTGCGTCTCAGTCTGTCTGTCTGTCTGTCTGTGTCTCTGTCCATCTGCTTCTCCTGTCTGTCTGTCTGCTTGCCTCTTGGCCTGTCTGTCTGTCTTCCTCCTGTCTGTCCATCTGTCCGTCTGCCCATGTGTCCACACGTCTGTCGGTATGTCTGATCTGGGTCCGTCTGTCTGTCAGCCTCTGGGTCCGCCTGTCTGTCCTGTCTTGCTCATCCGTCCATATCCCTGGTCCGTCTGTCTGTCCCTCGGCCTGTACATCTGTCTGTCTGTCTACAGGTCTGTCTGTCCCCTCTCTGTCCATCTGTCCATGTGTCCACACATCTGTCGGTCTGTGTGTCCACGTGTTCATGTGTCATCTGTCTGTCTGTCCGTCTGTCTCTTAGTCTGTCGTTCTATCTGTCTGTCTGTGTGTCCGTCCTGTCTTGATCATCTGTCCATCCCTTGTCTGTTTGTCCCTTGGTCTCTCCATCTGTCTGTCTGTCTGTCCGTCTGCCTCTTGGCCTCTCTGTCTGTCTGTCTGTGTCTGTCTGTCTGTATCTGTCTGTCTGTCTGTGTCTGTCTGTCTGTGTCTGTCTGTCTGTGTCTGTCTGTCTGTGTCTGTCTGTGTCTGTCTGTGTCTGTCTGTCTGTGTCTGTCTGTGTCTGTCTGTGTCTGTCTGTGTCGGTCTGTGTCTGTCTGTCTGTCTGTGTCTGTCTGTGTCTGTCTGTGTCCGTCTGTCTGTCTGTGTCTGTCTGTGTCTGTCTGTCTGTGTCTGTGTCTGTCTGTCTGTGTCTGTGTCTGTCTGTCTGTCTGTGTCTGTCTGTGTCTGTCTGTCTGTGTCTGTCTGTCTGTGTCTGTCTGTGTCTGTCTGTGTCTGTCTGTCTGTCTGTGTCTGTCTGTGTCTGTCTGTCTGTGTCTGTCTGTGTCTGTCTGTGTCTGTCTGTCTGTCTGTGTCTGTCTGTGTCTGTCTGTCTGTGTCTGTCTGTGTCTGTCTGTCTGTGTCTGTCTGTCTGTGTCTGTCTGTGTCTGTCTGTCTGTGTCTGTCTGTGTCTGTCTGTCTGTGTCTGTCTGTGTCTGTCTGTCTGTCTGTGTCTGTCTGTCTGTCTGTATCTGTCTGTCTGTCTGTGTCTGTCTGTCTGTGTCTGTCTGTGTCTGTCTGTGTCTGTCTGTCTGTCTGTGTCTGTCTGTGTCTGTCT